AATGATCATTCTTCCAATGGTCGCGAGTGACAGCTGCAAACGTCTGCAACGTCGCTCTTGCAAAATGTTTAACATTCGGGGTTGGTTAGCTTTCTCTGGATGCTCGTATTTTTCCTGGTTAAGGCTACGGTTGGTCGACACGCAACTTGTTCTAAGCAATGCATTGTTCTTCTGACTTCGAATTCTGCATTACATTCATAACTGGATCACAAGTTCCCTGTCTGACTCAGATAGACAATGCAGTCTTTATCTTGGATGACCACTTTTCCATAATTCACAGCTACGAGTTTGTTCAAACTGAAGGGTTCATGTGCTCCAAACCAGTATTAGTATTCTGTTTCTTCATCTGCTCTATATAATCAATACCTTGGAGCGCACGCGAAGTTGCTCCTTAGGAAGGAAGTTCAGAGTGATGGTTTTCATGGGACCCAAAACCGTTACAAGCTACCCAGTTTTAACTGGCTCCAAGTGTTTTCCACAATTTTTGGAATTTTAACAAACGCATAGCGGAGAGACCGAGTTCTAACATCCAATAAAGCTGAAAGTCTTTCGAGGTGTTGTGATCTTTGCATCCGTCTACCATACACACGAAGTAGGACCTCCACTGAACATTTTTCGTTGCATACGGCTAATGATGGTTCAGCATTCAACCTCTTTTCATCCGGGTTGTGTTTCGGCACAGAACAACAGAAAAGTTAAGACATTCCAAGTCTCTCTGTAGGGGTTTTGTTACATTCACGGTCTCGTAAAGATTTCAAGGTCAGCTTCACATGTTACTTCTTACTCAAAGCGTCTGTTTCGTTGGAAGACAAAAACAATTGTCAACGAATTGTTCATCTTCACATAACTATGTGTCTACAAGAGATGCATAGCGAATTGTGTTGACTGATCAACGTGAGCTGAAGGTACATCTTGAAGGATTGTTTTGCTTGGTAGATACCGTCGTGGAAGATCACTAGGTAAATTTAGGACATTAAATTCCTCCCAGGTTGTCTATCTCTATTAGTTTATTGATCTCCCTTTCAAGCATCTGCTTGACAGGTCACTCAAAGAGAACGGACGGAAGAAGCTTCAAAATTTAGATGGAATTTGACGTATCTATGTTTGACCCTAAAATTGGTACGAAGAACGACAGATAATGTCACTTGAAAATACCTAGCATATCAGTTTCTGCGACGATCAAGGTTACAGTTTAGATGTGACTGCTTTCAATTTAAGTATGTTCATCATTCGACGGCGATTGTGTTCGGTGCCTGAGTGGCACACGCATCTGATCAGGCCTAGTTTCATGTGCTTAGTCTCAAAACTACTCGTGTTCTTACTTTCTGAAACTTCACGTCTGTAGCGTCTTAAGATTCGTGTCCTCAGATGGAGCAGCGCACTGTGATTGCATACTAAAAACACTGTTCAAACGTAGTTCAAAGCGGATAATGATAAAATGGTGTATCTCATTACCAGTCTATGTCGATGGTGTGCAACGGACTGTCCTCCAGGGTGTTTTCTCCATTTTAATATTTCGGGGGTTGCACACAGTTACGATGCGTTATGAAGCGCCTTCTCATTAGGTCGTCCGTATTTACGACTGCACATAAATCGTACAGTAAGTTGGAGAAAACCATCAGTTGCTTTACACTTCCGTAGGCCAGCTTATACTAGGGAAGATTCCACCCTGACGTGACACTCTGGTTCGAGTGTTATACTGGATGATATTACGTTTCTCAGTGTATAGTCATTCCAAGAAGGATTAGCGTGGCAAGTAGACGGTATTCAGCAAGCGCTAGGTACTGCGTGCTTTCGTACTAGGAGATGGCCTGACGAGAACTTCGTTCTATTCTCCGCGAAATGAGAATGAAAGCAGTAGGTTTTTGTCAGGAACTCAGCAAATTTAACTGATAATAGCAACAAAACCAACACCTTTCGAGCAAAGAGGAGCTATAACGGTTTGACTAATCTCATAGCAGCCTACTGTGACTGCCGGAAACTATCCATTGCGCTATCCATTGGACTATCCATTACACTGCCTATGGTAGGCTTAATACGCTCAGCCCCATGGATGTGTCACAACTCGTTTACTAGTGTATCAGCGGTATCAACCAAATCGTCATGGACAATATAACATCAACGTTTACAATTCAGCAAGCCTCACTTTCTGATACAGTTCGGTAATTTTGCCTCATTGATTGCGTAAGTTAGACAGGATTTCGAGTCAAGTAGAGCCCTAACTGTAAGGAAACTGAAATAGGAGAAAGTTAACGACGAAAACAAGCGTACGTTTTTCACGCTTCCTTCTCCACGTGGAGTGTCGTTAGGATTATGTTATACTCACTAAGATGAAGCTGTCGTTAGGTGACCACGTCGGCCGGATTGTATAGGTGAGTGCTATGCAGTTACATCGCGGAGGTAGTCAACACGCACACGCGTATTGTGAGCGCGTCCGTTCAAGCGGCCTGGGTGCACATGAATGAGCTCAGATGATGCCAAGTGTTGCATGGGCTTCATGAAACCGTCTTGGTCACATGACCGTAAACATCCAGTAGCTGTTGATTAGCGTAACTGCTTACAGAGGTCAGTGTTTCGAAATATGACTTCAATTGTGGAGTTAGAATTAGCCACGATAATTTAAGAAGACGAACTGGCTATAACTGTACTGGTAACACCCATTACGGTTGTCAGAGAAAGACGGTTATCATGTTTTCTTTTCCCGCAAGTGCCTTGCCCCTAATCCTATGTGTTATCCTATGCCGCAGTAAGTGGAGGACAGGGGACCATTCCTCGAGTTGTTGGGTCGTTTAGTAGTCATCAATCACGGTTTAAAACAGGTATGAGGATTGGTACGGTGATGATGTTGCCAGTGACGGACGAGGGCACAAGAATTTATCACCATATCTCCATTACCAAAATTGTTCTTTTGTGGAACAGCATATAAACAACGAATCCCTCGTCGGACAGATTAGCTTTGTGTATTGACCATTTTGCTCACTGCCTTGGAGAAAAACACACTTACCTAGCGAGGAGGCAGCTAACCAAGGAACCATCTGAACGCCCTTTTAGAACACATATTTAGAAAGGACACTGGAGGGTAGGAAACTCGAAATGCTGAGATGTTTTATGCTGCACGGTGGAAGTTCCGAGCTGTCATTATTTCATTTGCTCTCATTAGTCACGGATGCAAAAAATCCAACATTCGTATGATAGGTGTCAAGCAGCAGTTAGTTATTGATTTAGAAGGTAGATAAGTCCAAAGTATACAGAATCTTGTCAGCAATGCTTTCCTTACGCACACGGCTAACCGCTTTCTTATTGTTATGGCTCTGATCATTAACAGAATGGTTGGTATGAATTTTGTGTGAACCGTGTGGGCTACTCAAATACTTGTTTCAATTATATGTGGAGAAATCGTGTCGGTGTGCTCTGTCGTTTTGCTTGTGGTTGTGTCTTGTAGGCTCGTAACGAACTTCTTGGAAGATGTCCGTCCGTTATACCAGTTCAGGTGTAGCTAGAACTAAGCTCAGCCGATAAGTGGCGTGAGGCAGGTAAAATGGATGAACTAGGACAATCGGTATGTAGTGCGATGATCTCAGGAGCCGAGATGCGACAAAGTCGTGCCTCTTCGAATGAGTAACTGGCTCAGTCGATTTGTGTGGTTTTGCGGCCTTACCATGTATGCGGATGACTTTTTCAAGGCAACCACTTATTATCAAAGTTTGTCTAAGGGATGTATTTCTCCCGGTCTGTTGTGAATGTTTCTATCTCTGTGGAGAAGTCAACGGGTTTAGGGCATTAATTGGCTACTCTATACAGTCTTACGCCTAATATTTACAATGGGACGTAGCTTAATTAAAAAATCAGGGAAATGTAAGTGGTTGTTGGATTCACATCTCTAAGACTCAGTGAGGTTGGATTACTTGATGTTGAAGTAGGATCAAACACTGAAATTCGAAACACAGTTTACAGAACTTTTAGAGAAGACAGTTCAAACAATAACATTGGAGACCTATGCATCTTAGAAAAAGTTAGCTGGAGTTTAAACCATAGTGACACCTTCGATTCGTCTATTAAATACTGGCTTCAAAGTCAAAGCTAGTATTTCCTGTAACTAGTGAAATATTTTGAAATAGTCAGACATTACGGATACGTAATCGGGTACAAACTTGTCAGTGAAAACGGCAGGAACGAAATCGGTGGGCAGAGGCAGAGGTTTCTTTTACGGACGTTCCGAGCAGTAGCGATGAGGAATGTTAGCCTTGGTCAAAGCTAGCGTTCTACGGACTCACTGACCTCATGTTTTTGTCAAGGACACTTGATCTGAACATTATTCCAGATATGCCAGATCATTGCTTGTTAACCCCAGGTGACTTATGCTAAGCGTCACTTCTTTGTCAATATTTTGACCTCTGTTGTTAATTCTTAGCCTAAATGTACTCAGTTATACTTTGATCGATTAGGTCTTTTCTCTGTATGTTTGATCCGGTCTGATGGAAGCATAGCAAAGCATACAGTGTGCATATTTTAGTACTGATGATGGTGGTGGCTCGCATATTATCTGGAAGCATTAGTTTTTTTCTGAAAGAAGTCCACAGAAACCCGATTAGTTCATTGTCGATGGTGTTCAGTCGGATGCTCGAACTGGCTGATCGCAGGTCATGAAACAAGGACCATGATCACTTACATGGAAACTTCAAACAAATTGAGTGCTGACGGAGGATAGGAGGTCGGGCAGGATACGATTTTGCGGACTAACGCTCGTCAAACGGGTAGAACACCCCAGAGGTGAATCATGCTGTATATGCTTGGACTCTGAGTGGATCGGTCGCGCCACTGAATAATCAGTTAGCAGCTGACACCTACGGTCGTCATTAGTAAGCCCCTTTGTGTGTGTAATTGGTTGCGCAATTTATACCATTAACAGAATATGATGTGTTCGGCTGTCTTTTTTTTGATCGGCTGAACGTAAGATTTACACTCTTCGTAAACATTTCTTTTTTGATATTCCAACTCAGCTTGCTAGAACCTTCGCCAGCAAATCCAAATTAGTCGAAAAAGCGAAAGATGGACAGGAAGGTTCGCTACAGCATTCTTTCGGCAATGTCCTGAAGGATAAGATGGTGAGTCTACGCCACTGTTTTTTTTCTCGTTCTCGTTTTGTGTTGTTTTTCAACGTAGCATGTGGTGTCCATTGCATCAATGCGTGTGCCGTGACGATGGCCATTGTTCCTAAGTCTATTATGCTGCTTTGTTGTCATGACTACCTTGTGCCTCTGCAGTTCAAACATGTGCGTGTGGTAGTAGCCTTGGTAACAACCGGTCAGGTTATCTTCATTTCCCCCCGTGTAACAGGACTAAAAACAAATTGAACGGAATTGCTGGGGTAGAGCGAATTCTCTCTTCCCTTCCTTCCTTAAAGGAAATCTGTTGATTCAGTACAGCGTATTGAACATGCCTGCTGAGTTTCCCTATACAATCGTATCTGTTTCGAAGTGTGCGTATTTTTACTGGTACACCAAACCTAGATTGCTACGTGAAATAGCCTAGTGAGATAAACGTGCAATTTACGGTGAACTTGTCTCCATTAGAGTCCAGTACGTTAGCACAGGATGCGCTAGAACAACTAACAGAGTCTTTCAAGGTAAACGATATTTCTGGATCTGTGGACTGTGTTTAACTTCGGTTCTCTGTTCACTCTCTCATTGAACTAGTCCTATAATGCTTAGTTTTTTGTGTACATGGATGGGGAATTAAAGCCCTAGTTATGTCGGAGCACCATGTCCCGTTCACACCCAACCAAGTATTCAACGTTTGCTTGTTACAGTTCACCAAATTAAACTCGGTCTGATTTCGGGTAGCTGAGATTTTACTACATCTTTCTCCTATCACTGCGGTGGCAAATTTTGTGCCCGACCTGAAGGAAAGTCACATATCGTCGTTACTTATCGCAGATTATAGACAGTTTCCTATGTGCGTCGTATCTGTTCACTCTTCCCGAATCTTCAGTGGCTCTGCGCGTGACACAAGGTCTTCTACACTCCTTACATAATTATCACCATCATCGTCATTGACAACGTTATGAAAAGACAACTGTGATGGTTCTCTGCCGTACGACCGTGTCAATCTATTTAGATAAAGTCTTTTCATTGAATCAAGAAGAAATAGGACAGGGAGAGGGAACTTGGACTAGCCTACAACAACTGTTCGAGGTACATCCAAAACTCAGTCTAACGACCCGGATAGAAACCCCCCAGCCGGCTAGTCGTCATATCATTCACCACGTGGACTCCATCCTGGAAGGCGGACAAAACCAACAATACATGAACTTTTCGTGATATCCTTCATTATCTTCTATCGTATCATATTCTGTCCATCTCTGGGTTCCCTTCACTCAGAATTAGGCTGGTAAAACGGAACTTGTTTCAGGAGGCGATAACTCAGCCGAAGATCTGTCTCCCGATCTCCTCATTTGTTGGTTCCAGCCGATTACAGATACGGTCGAGACAGTGGTGATTAAAGACCTGAAGATATCTGATCCGATGCCCGTACTGGTCAGGCCTCGCGGCCATAGAGCAATGCACCCCGCACTCTGGTATGATAAATGCTTCCTCATTTTGAAGCCATAAGTGGCGCTCATTGCCAAACGCAACTCTGGCCTTTGAGATTCATCCACTGACTTTTCTCTTACATCACTGTGATAGCCAGTGCAACGTCTGAGGTACATGTAGTGTTTTACAGCCACCAGTGTCACCCCTTTGAATTCTTAAAGGTATGCTCAACGTCTGCGTGTCTCATAAAAGCAATTACACTTTGTGGGTGTTTAACACTGATGCTGATGGCGGTGACACTGACAGGGTATCGCATAGCATCACACATTCCATGATGCGTGCCTTAGCTTTTTCCTGCATTCAAATCCAAAATTAAAACATTCCTCGGTTTCCACAGATTTTATTCAGTGAGTGACGAATGCAAATTCGAATAAATCAAAGTGGATATCGAGAGTTCAGTTGGTTCGTTCTGATTTATCTCGAAGCTAAAATGTAGTACAGTTACTTTGACCTTATTCATGAGTTTATGGATTTAAGTGGAACACGATGAAGCACACCGATAGATACTTCATCGCAGGAGATTATCTTATGAACAGCTTACAATTTGTTGTCTAATCGATCACACACCGGAGCAGTCCATCAGTGAGTTAACGCTTGTATGTCTTTGTTTTCGTATTCAAACTTTGGTTGAGCGTTCGACCCCACGATGACAAGGAAACCGTTTCACTTAGGTCAGTTACGTGCTTTACATTCAGCACCGTTGCTTGCTGTGTGTGTGTGTGCTAAATCCTGAATTCGGATCGGTCAACTACTACGGTAGTGCGGTATCTGTGTAAAGTTTAACAATACACAGACTGATGCTACACTGGGTAAATATTTTGATTGGCTCGCCTGTTTCGCCCTACAAACCAGCCAGATTTTACGCTCCACAGTGTTTTGCTCACTCTGCAAAACTCTGCAGACAGTCTGAACGAGTTACCATGTCGCTTGTTAACGCTGAAAAAGAGACCACAAAAAAGTCCTAGGTACTACACAAACAAAATACCACTCTAACTACGGGTCTAAACAAAAAGTGGTCGGTACACAAACGTCAGTCGTGTGATCTGTGCATCTGGTTGCACAGTCTTTGTATCGGCTGACCTTAGAAACCGACGGAAATAGTATGCAAAGTACAAGAAGTTTCAAATTCTTTTGATTCCTAATGATCTCCTGCACAAGACTTTTGTCGTACAAAGAGTACAAATTTATCGATTGCAGAACTGACCAAACGCTGATGATGGTCTTGCATTTGTTGTATTAAACAAGTAGGTTTATCGCTTATATGATAAACTGCTTCAGCTTGCTGGTACATCGTATTTGTAGGTGTAAGTAAGCTCTAGTTTCGTCATCCATTACTCTACGCTCCTTACAAATGAAGCCATGAACGCAACAATTTTTTTAAAAAAAGTAGGTGGCTTGTATTCTGCGGAGCCTGATGTATCCTTGGTTGATCGCTGGACCGCCAATAAGACTAAAACATTCTGCGGTATTTTCGTGTAATTTGCCTACTGCTCCAGCAGATGGTGTATTTGCTGTTTAGTTGGTGCACATCTATCCATGCGCAGCCGATGTTGCTTGTGAGCGAATCATTTACTCTGAGACAGTTGTGGGTAGGCTGGACTGCTCAGCCTCATTACGATGCTCACTGTAGGCTCTAGTACACAAACGCTCCGCGGACAACCGATGCAAGCGCTTGTGAGCACTGATACACCGGGTGAAAATGTTGGACAGATAAAGGAAGCTACCCACAAGGTTGTCGAAAACCCTTCGACAGCCCACGACTGGTTTCGCTCTTCTTACGACTCATCAGTCCCAGAGTTTCCGTCAACCTTATATCCTACCTGAACCCGAATTGGACAGATTTTAACAAATACACTCATGTGCATATCAACTTGGTGAATATTTCATTTGTGATTTTCATTTGGAGACTATCATAAATGGACGATCCAGTTGAGTCTACCATGAACAAAATTGATATGCAGTTGAGTGCATTGATCGACAGATACTTTTGACCGCCTGGGACATTTTAGCTCATGAACTGTTCCAACAGAATCGGGAAAAACCGTGGCAAGTAAAGGCCTGTGTACCAGTTTAACCCGAATTCCTGACTTCACTGAATGTCTGACCATGAAATGAAAATTTCCATCACCATATAGCGCTTGATGCTGAGGGAATGTCGTTAATATTCCTTACGGCAAAAATTGTCAGCACTTTCTAGCCGCATTGCCATCATGAATTTGTTAGGCTTTTTCTCTGGGCTTTTACTGGGCAGCTAACCATCAGTTTCTGCTACTGGTTTATTGTTATCAATACGGATGATGACGGGTAAGGATTCTGGTGGGTCGCGTTGATGATATCTTACCCAGGCGTGATGTTCAAGCTTGTTCTTTGTCGGGAGATGTAGGCACTTTGTTTTCGGTTACTTTTCCTGAGTACCTGAGGTCCTTTGTACCAAAGTCCGGCAGCGGAACGCTAGCACTATTCTCTCCGTAATGAGGATGTTAGTGGTGGTAATAAATGCAGATTATGCATTTAGATGCGGGATAGTCTGGCGTGTTAAGCTAATAAAACCACAGTTTTCAACATGCTTGCGAATTCCGGGACCGTGGTATTTGGGCTGCTCAGTGTTTATAAAAACCAGAATTTTTTTGGAGTTTGGAAGTGTGTGTTACAAGGACCCAGATTTCAGTTACTTGCTACTCTCCTGTTGGTGGCTTGTGTAACCCGTGACCAAAGAATCATATGCAAATTGCGATGCAAATACGCACATCAGAGAAACCAAGGAGGCGATGTTCGAGGTAGGACAAACGGGCATTTTATAGATAGGTGGTGTGGGATCTATATCTGAACGTAGTATAACTATAACAGCCTGTCGAAGCTGTTTAGTAACACTAACACAGTGTTTAGAGTGTTATCAGGGAACTAATTGTGTGGGGAGGTCAATAATGGCTGCGCTATTGAATCAAGGATTTCACTTGCAAGTTACGCGAGCTCGGGATAACGTGTCCTGTCAAATGTTACATAACTGGGATGGGCGGTCGTTGGCTAAGTGTTAGTCATTTCAGAGACAGAGCTGGGGGGTTCAAACTGTGTGCGTGGTGCAAAAACAACTCTATTCGTTCTCCTCTTTTGATGCATCATGTTGCCGACCCCCTGCTTAAGAAGTAAAGTCCTGTAGGTATCGGAAAATTACTTGAAAGACAGCGGGCCACGCGTGCACATCAAGCAAGACGTCGATGTTCAGCCGGACCATTTTTGTCAAAAAAAATTAGCAATTAGACGCAAGATAGCTCACCGTTCTTAAAAATGTTGCAGAAAAGTTTTGAGCATAGATTGTACCGAAGAGAACTCGAGGAAATATGGACTGATTTTTGTTGAAATACCGTGGTAGTATGGTAAAATCCCACATTTCCGATTGGTATGTTTGGACCCCTTTGGTTTCTAACTTAATCCTGTGAATTAGCGTATTGCGCCTCGAGTGGTCTTTAGTGTGTGGGCGGTATAGTGTATTCCCCCACCTACTTCGCTGCATC